GTCTTTTTCGAATTAAAATAAAAGGATGCAACCACAACAAAAGATTGATAGCTTGAAAACTCGGGAAATTGTTATTTGTAAGTATAAGCATCGTTGATCGCGCAACCATGGATGTGATGTGCAGTCATAAAATCACACACAAATTAACCTAATTACAGGGAGGTCAGTTTTTTTTAAACAAAAAAAATATGTATTCAATGCACGATATATGTAAATAGAATTTGTTCATATCATGTAATTCTTGTTGATCCAATTTTGAAATATATATGCTTTGAAATGGTTTGTGGGAGGAGTAATTAAATGAAGGATTTTGGTGAGAAAGCGTGTGCCCACAGGTGATTCGTCCAAGTGTGAGACGCCACCAAAGGTTCTTTCAATCCTGTGCCCCCAAATGCAGCCATGGAAGCAGCAGCAGCAGAAGAAAAACATTGGAAAAGGGTGATATTCTGACATAACCCTAATACATGAAGGATTCTTTTTTAAATCCCCCAAAATTATTGAGAAAGACCCACATATGTAGAATATCAAAAACCCTCAACCCTAACCCAAAACAAAATTATTAGCCTAAGATTTTGAAAAACTTCAGCAATTTTCTATGGCACGTGATTAATGTGTGTTTTGGTCAGGTAGCTTATGAATTAATCCTGTCAGCTTCATCGACTCTAAGGGGTGATTGGATCATGAAATTCAAGATTTTTTGTAGGAATTTTTCTTTCCAGATTCAAATTCCCATGTTTGGATGAGGAATATTCCCAATAGGGAGTAATAAAATATTCCCAACACCCGGGAATGCTAATCCCCTGTTTTTCTTAGGTATTTTTTGTTTCCCTTCAACTTGGATTAAAATGCCCTTGAAACAAAAGATTTATTTCAAAAATATCCTTACTTTTATTTCAAAAGCTATAATCTTTTGTTTCACATATTTATTTCAAAAATTTATTTTCACAAATTATTATAACTTTTTAAATATTAATTAAGTTTAAAATAATATATGGTATATTTACTCTTTTAATATGCCCATTTATCTTTTAAATATTGTAAAAAAATATATAAATTTTATGAATTTAAATTTAATAAAAAATATATAAATTGAAAATAATACAATAATATATTTTCTATGAATTTTTATATAAATATTTTCATTTAAATATTTGGAATTCAACTTGTTAAAAAATATCATAAGGACAATTTAGTAAAATATGCATTCCAATATATTTTCTGACATAACCCTAATACATGAAGGATTTTTTTAAATCCCCCAAAATACATATGTAGAATATCAAAAACCCTCAACCCAAAACAAAATTATTAGCCTAAGATTTTGCGAAACTTCAGCAATTTTCTATGGCACGTGATTGATGTGTGTTTTGGTCAGGTAGCTTATGAATTAATCATGTCAGCTTCATCGACTCTAAGGGTTGATTGGATCATGGAATTCAAGATTCTTGGTAGGAATCTTTCTTTTCAGATTCAAATTCCCATGTTTGGATGAGAAATATTCCCAATAGGGAGTAATAAAATATTCCCAACACCCGGGAATGCTAATCCCCTATTTTTCTTAGGTTTTTTTTGTTTCCCTTCAACTTGGATTAAAATGCCCTTGAAACAAAAGATTTGTTTCAAAAATATCCTTACTTTTATTTCAAAAGCTATAATCTTTTGTTTCACATATTTATTTCAAAAATTTATTTTCACAAATTATTATAACTTTTTAAATATTAATTAAGTTTAAAATAATATATGGTATATTTATTCTTTTAATATGCCCATTTATCTTTTAAATATTGTAAAAAATATATAAATTTTATGAATTTAAATTTAATAAAAAATATATAAATTGAAAATAATACAATAATATATTTTCTATGAATTTTTATATAAATATTTTCATTTAAATATTTGGAATTCAACTTGTTAAAAAAATATCATAAGGACAATTTAGTAAAATATGCATTCCAATATATTTTCTGACATAACCCTAATACATGAAGGATTTTTTTTTAAATCCCCCAAAATTATTGAGAAAGACCCACATATGTAGAATATCAAAAACCCTCAACCCTCAACCCAAAACAAAATTATTAGCCTAAGATTTTGCAAAACTTCAGCAATTTTCTATGGCACGTTATTAATGCGTGTTTTGGTCAGGTAGCTTATGAATTAATCATGTCAGCTTCATCGAATCTAATGGGTGATTGGATCATGGAATTCAAGATTCTTGGTAGGAATTTTTCTTTCCAGATTCAAATTCCCACGTTTGGATGAGAAATATTCCCAATAGGGAGTAATAAAATATTCCCAATAGCCGGGAATGTTAATCCCTGTTTTTCTTAGGTATTTTTTGTTTCCCTTCAACTTGGATTAAAATGCCTTTGAAACAAAAGATTTGTTTCAAAAATATCCTTACTTTTATTTCAAAAGCTATAATCTTTTGTTTCACATATTTATTTCAAAAATTTATTTTCACAAATTATTATAACTTTTTAAATATTAATTAAGTTTAAAATAATATATGGTATATTTACTCTTTTAATATGCCCATTTATCTTTTAATTATTGTAAAAAATTATATAAATTTTATGAATTTAAATTTAATAAAAAATGTATAAATTGAAAATAATACAATAATATATTTTCTATGAATTTTTATATAAATATTTTCATTTAAATATTTGGAATTCAACTTGTTAAAAAAATATCATAAGGACAATTTAGTAAAATATGCATTCCAATAATCTTTTATTCCTTTAACCAAACACTGTAATCATACATTCCTGTCAAACAAACCAAACACAATAATGTAATATTCTCGGTAATGTGTAAGGTAATGTAATATTCCGGTAATCTTATTCCCGAAGGTAATGTTATATTCCATGAAACAAACGCCCCTAAAGAGTTTGATCATTTGGGTTTTGAGAATGCATAATTAAGTTAGTTTAAGCTATACTAATTAGGATCTTTGTATATTAAGTGAATCAGATATCAATAAAGTAGAAACAGTAATTTGATGATAATGATGGATAATTTTGATAGAGATAGGAAATTAGAACTATTATATGGTCGTTTCACTGGAAATTATTAATTTTAACATACTGCCCCTAATTTGATAGCTCTTAATAGATCCATGAGGAATTTGGAGGATTGAAAATTATAAAGTTTGAATGCGTTCAAAATTTACGGCATTTTTGATTGAAGTGATAGTAAAACAATATGCAATACTCAACAGGTACCCATATATATCAAAATTCTCACCATTACAAGGCATTTAAATCCACTACTAAGAATCTATTGAATGTGTTTAGTGATAAAAAAAATATTGGTTTTTTAAAGGATCAATATTCAACAAATATTACCTTGCAATCACCCAAGATTTTAATTTAAATCCCCAGATATTAAGTAACGTTATTTATTTTAATTATTTAATCTAATTTTTAAAACGCCGCACCAGTTCATAAATTTATTTTTTATTCCACTATAATAGGAATTTGAAATTTATCCCACCATGAATTCCTAAAGTCATGTTATTTGTTAATTATTACTTTAATAATAGTAATACTTGTACGTATAAAACTTTCAAAAGTAACATTTGTAAAAAAGTCAAAGATCGCATTCCATATATAAATAAATTCGACGATGATTTTAAAATCTTTTAACTTTTTCATGCACTTTTTAGCACATTTTTTTAAATGTAAAAATAGACACTTTAAGGAAATAAGATTTTAAAATATATATTAATTCATTTGTATAATATTATAGATATTTACGAGGAATAACGTCAAAAATCACATAAACTGGGGATTGATCACATTGAGCATCACTAAAGAGCTAATATCACATAAATCAGTTTCAAGACTGGAGAAATGGTAAAATGACAATTTTCAACAGACATCAAAATCCTCACCATCACAAGGCATATGTTAGCGTTCAATGTTAGCATCAATATTTCTGTAAACAATCAAGAAAACACTTTGTCTAATATAATATATGTTACATGCATATAAAAAACTTGAGCAATTGAATCAAATGAATTGTACCAAGGAAACCTAACAATAGGCCCAATGGGGAACAATTGGCTATGCAATAGACACAAATAGCCAAGACAAGTACCTAATGAAACCTTTTCACCTAATGGCATAAAAGAAAAAGCACCCTTACTCAAATAGGATTATGTTCTTCTGACAAATCTCATCACATTTATGAGAACTCAATGCAAATATGACAAACTCCTACATGCTATTATTGAACACACTACAACTTCATGGACCCCAAAAATTAGATAGTGATACTAGCGAACTCATTCTACAAGAAGAAATATAGGGAAGAAAAGAGGGAATGGAAGCATAAGCTACTCTTCTCCAATGTCTTCAATTATATCAACAAAAGTCAGTAGACTATTCTCATGGCTTGTCACCCCCAACATATTTACCAGCTAAGCATGTTTTCATCGAATGAAATACAGTCCCCTAACAGCATAGTTGACTTCCTGAGGAATGCATTTATTTGTGATAGATTTTGATCAAATGGTCATGTCAGGCAGTTCAATTATTTTTTCCCTCACATGCTAAATTTCATCTACTGCTTAAAATTCTAACCCATAAGGCATATCAGCCACGTTAGTATTTGTGTCCAAACAAATCTCTAAGGACTCTTTTTTCTTTAAGTAGGTTTGCAAGCAAAAGAAAATATTTCCTTAGTGATTCTTGCTACATCGAGATCAAATATAAATTTAGAATTAACAAATGTTGCAGCATCATCGATCTTTTAATATTGAACTAAGTGGAAGCTGCACCATTGACAAAAACCATATGATTTTTCATCCCAATATTTTAATTTGATATTAATCCCTTACCTCATCAATTCAAATCTCAAGTGCGTGCATATAGATAATGATACAACTTACAAGGTCAAACTGAATCATTTATGAACAAGAGAAGTCACATTTCCAGCTTTTTAAAGAGAACCATCGATAAATTAGTTACTCCAGCGGTCTTTATGGTTACAAAAAACTAGCATGTATTTTCTCTCTTGAACAGTATAAATTCTCAAGAATTCAATCATGGAAGGTTGCCAAATAAATGAATATACAAGATTTAGAAGAAAAGACACTCACTTCATCCTGCATTCATTGAAACATCACATGATTGCGTGAAAATTGTCTGCAGTTATTCCATCAACCTAATTAAAAAAATCATCATTCAATTGACAGATTATATAAAGCATTAAAAGCTAATGACTCTAGTAAATTAGTAACTAAACCTCATATTCAAGATTGAGCCAAAAGAGAAGCAAAATAATCCACCTGTCACTGCTTGTAGTATCTTCCTGAGATCTAATCCTTTGAAACCCGAACAACTATACCAGTTGGTGTATGGACTGTTTTAATATGACCCGATCCAATCAAGTCCCGAAGGTGAAACCTCATATCAAGAGGAGACAATCGAAGGTGCTTCTTCTCCAAAGGGGCTAACATCATCTTTTTATATCTCCTACGATTTAAAAGAGAGAGGAGTTCCTTCCTTCCCTGCAGTCCAAGCAAAATAAGAACACTGTAAATGCAACAGTGACAGAGTAGAGGGCTTAAAATTTAGATATACAATGTAAAATCTAAAAGCTTCAGACTTTACTAAATCAAAGCAGCATCTAACTTATTCAAAGAACTCATTGAAATGCTAAGTGTTCGAAAAGTTTTGGAGGATGTGCATTCTAAATATATCATACTCAACTCAAGACCACAGTTAATCCATTTTATAAGTTCATGCCAAACCCAAAATTTTAAGAAATGAAATAAAATAAAGGAATCAATGGGATTCTATCTAAAATTTATTTTCTACTATTTGTAACCAGAAAATTTGTATATAGTTCCAATGGTGTGTGTATATATTTTCAAGCTACTAATTAACAAAATGATCAGAACTTCCACAAAAGTAATCAACATATGAACCCTTTCTTTGCAAAATATTTCAACATATATTAAAATCCAACTAGTTAGAGCAGGAAAATTAAGTGACAAAATAAAATTACCTGGGAGAGGCCTTTTAGTATTGAACCAATATTTGGAATTGCAAACCAGTACATACTTGGGTCAATCAATTGGTGAGTCTGAAAGGGAAATGTTTTTCTTAGAATAGGTATAGACTCGAGAAGGAATCGAGCATGTGTAATTTAATGCAATTATGCAAAAAGTGGAAAAGAAAACTAAGAGGGAAATGGAATTGCATAAGTACCATATGATGGAAAACTAAAAGGAAAAGAAAAGGCCCAATATGCATTCGACTAAATACCAATATGAATAACAAAACATTTTCACGTGCAAAGACATGTTTAAATTCGTGCATTCCAATAAACTCATCCAGATGGCACTCAAATATAGGATGTAACTGTATACTCAATTTAACGTCCACAATCGTTTTTATGATATGCCACAGTGAAATATTCATATAATATTGAAGTATCCAAGGATAGAATTTCAACAAACTAACACAATATGACAAACTCAGCAGAAGGAAAGTTCACTTACAAGAAAGCCAGAATTGATTAGGAGGGATATGTGCTCATCTTTCATCCGTCCCCCTAGTGATAAGAGTGCATACTGTAGCAAAGAGAAGCAAAGCCAAGAAAGTATAGTCTCATGCATGCATGCATGCATATGAATTATGAAAATGGTAAAATTTTCTGCAAAGAAAGTTTTTGAAACAGAAACAGGGAGACATTCATAAAAGACTAGATGACATCTTCTAGAGTAACATGAATTCATGATATAGGAAGTTATATCTATCTCAAGCAGAATAGAACAAGAAATAAAATTTAACCCAAATTCATAAAAGATTGGATGATATCTTCTGATATAAGCACAAAGTTATATCTATCTCAAGCAGAATAAAATAATAAATAAACAACACAATTCATTGGCGTTTTGACCACTCACAAGTTCTTGATGTCCGATGCAAGGTTCTAGCTTGGACTCAATAACATGCACTTTGAACCACTTAAAAACTTGAAGATCACATTGTTTCTTTTCTTCCATTCTTTTGACAACATGCTCTACCTGCAAAAATATTACAGACAGAAATCTGTCAAAATGAAGCCTACTTAGTAAGCTTGCAACAACACAAACATCCCTCGCAAAGAGTGCCAAGCACTATAAACCCTAATACATAAACCAAAACCAGATTGTAAGTAACAGGCACTCACTTTGAACTAATTGAACCTAAAGTTGCAAGCTAAACATCTCATCTTTTATGAATTTACAGACATCAATAACCAACCTGTTTTAGATAATCATCTAAAAACATTATACCATGATCATCTTGCCCCGTATTTAGTTTGAAAACGCGCACTACTTTATCCCTCCTTAGAGACTGCAGAAAAGAGAACACATTATAGAAATCACATGGGACTAAGTGAGAAGGTTATTCTACTTTTCAGTTCAGCATATAGAGAGTTGCAAGAAATATTACAATCAAAGAGAACTCCTAAAAAACAAGAACATGTACTTGCTCCCTCTACAAGAACCAGGAACTCTCTGACCAGATTGTTAGATGCTTATCACCTTTCAGTCATAAAACATGTCCCAAATATCTACTTTACCAAGAACCACATGATGTGTTCATCATAAACCATGCACGTCTAGCTATAATCTGCAACAAGCAAATAGTTCTAACCTGGGAAAATATGTTACAATACCCTAGAGAAACAAAGAAAACCAAAATATAAGATATCCCGGGATAAAATCCTAAAACTAGGATATAGCATGTGAGCCTTCTGCATAAAATAAGCAAGAATAACACAAGTAATCAAAATAACTTGCATAACACTTAACTTCAAATTGCACATGAATTAAATCCAACCCACCAAAAAATGTCACTCCCATTATTCAATTAATAAAACAAACTTTTTGCCAAACGTACCATTGAACAATAGATCAGGAACAATTCTACACATGAAGTAATATTCTAAATTTGAAGGTTAAGGAACCAAACCTCTAGCTCCCTATCCACTTGCGTTCTGTCCTTTACACTGCTATACAATTGTGACTGCAAAATAAAAGGTTGAATCGACACCTTGAAACATAACCAAATCAAATGAAACAGCTTTAGCTTTATCAGTTTAAGGTTTAAATAAAAGTAGATATAGAAACATCTAAAAATGAATAAAATTGCACATTTCAATTTAAAAAGGAGTAGGTTATTTAACAGAGAAATGCTAAATAAATAGGTTTTAGAAGAAAAAGAAGAAATTTTGGGAGTAGATAGTTAACCTTATCAATATGAGGAAACTGAGCTCGCATCATACGAAGCGCCACTAAAGTGTCGCTAAAGCTAAGATTTTGTTCTGCGCGAAATTAGAAAGGACTCATGATGAGCACTCGCTAAAACAGGAAAGGAAAAAATAGAAATCAATATTTTTGTTCGAAGCGCGAAACTTTTACCGAGGGAAAGAGAATGATTAGCGTCGCTGTCAACAGCCTCGATCTCTTCGTCTTCTCTTCTGCGTTTCTTTCCTTTATCCATCTTTAAGGGAACGAATCCTCAACTGACGGGAATTGGGAATTTGGCGCCGCACCCACCCCTCAGGTTTGGAACTTTCTCTATAACGACTGTATTTGGGGGGGTTGAAGGATAGTTATCAATGTGGTGGAAACATTTTACGTAATTCTTTATTAATTTTAGGAGAATACTTTAGAATATATATATCGTGATATAGTTGTCGGAAGTATTTAGATTACTATAGTTTGTCACGAGCCGAGTTGGGATATTAGGGTTCATGAATGGCAAAGAGGAACTAGGGTTTGGAGGAATTGGGGATTTTGTTCATCTGGAGAAGAACGATGAAGCTAAGGTAACTTAAGTCAAAGATGATCAAAACGACAACGCTGGGATTAAAGGCTACGACACCGTATCAATAGTTGATGGAATGGGCTGGGAGGGAGGCTATGTGAGTAAGGGCCAGAGTCGTGGTCCATGCGGTCATGAAGAAAAGCAGGCTGGAGGATTATTATCACATTCTGAACGTTGAAGCATATCCATCAGGACCCACAACAGCAACGGCCGATTTGTTGGATTGCACAGCTGGCAGTAACCAGTGCATGTACTGAGATATCCATGAATTTTAATGAGAATTCTGATTTCCTTTCATCCTTTCTTCTAAATTCTTAATCTCTTCTATCCCCAATCATTGCATAGTTGAAGATGAATTATCCTATTTCATTTGATTGGAGAATCGTAGTTAACAACTGTACAATAGATTATTGATTTTAGATAATAAACAATTAATACTTTTTTTTTTGAGAAGAGAAGGAAATTAAAGAAGTCTTATTTAATATTGTATGAAAGGTTTTATAATGACTTTTAGTACTAATATTAGATCTTAACTTATAATAACTATCCATAAAGTAATAGATGGTGTAGATAAACTGTATTTACAAGAGATTATGTTAGAGAATCATGATTGTCTTGGAGGGATTTAATCACTAAAAAAATTCTTTCGAAGATATCAGTATGCGGAGAGGAGGCAACTGAGGGTTAGGGTATGGGCCATGGGGCGTGTTTTGGATATCTATTTCATATCGCATTCTTTATCTTCCGTGACCTGTCCCAACACTGTTGATTCTAATTTTAAATTAGCTAAGACTCGAGGGTCAAAGGCCATTTTGGTGTTGCTGCAACAAAATAAAACACCATCTTTAAATCGGGAGTAGCTTCTTTTCTTTTTCTTTTTTTCCTTTGGCGTATCAATAATTACAAAGGGATTCATAAAAAAGATTGCCTAGATTGGAGAAAATGAGCCGAGCCTACCAAAATTTTGAATTAAAAATGCCCCCAAGCAAAAGAGAAAGAACCCTTTTTTTCGCTGTGCATCAAACAACGCTTGCAAAGGAATTGAAATTATTCTTCAATCAATTCATGCAGATTTAAGCTTGGCAGATGTAGCAGCCAAATAGGAAAGGATTCTATGGCCAACAAACACAAGGAAAACTCCCAACAAACCAACAAGTTTCAGCGTTTGGAACAGATCCAACTGCACCCACAACCATGCATATAAGTTAATGATGGAATTATACAAAAATAATGACAATTGACTTGAGCTCAGATTGTTCAAGACAACGAAGAACTAACCTTCAACCATAAAAACACATAGAGTAACAGAACTGCTCCGATGCCAACATGGAAGAGAATGGCAAATGTGGCAGCTAACGTATTGGTAGGAAAGTTCTTCAAATTCACCCCCAATCGATATAGCTATCCAAGTAACCATCAAAAAGTCCAAATAATAGCATTAGCACATTATTTCAGTAAATATATGCATCTTTAACTATAATTATACAGTATAAAATTATGCCTTCGAAATTGCAACCCTCTACATCTTATGATTGAATCAAAATATAAAAGTGCTGCATGCAAGACTACTAACCCCGAACAAGAATCCAAGAAATGGCAGGAAGGTAAGACCCAGGAAAGCAAGAGAAAGCTCCTTCTGAGGACGCTTTTCGGGAGCCCTGAAGATGTGTGCTATCTCTGCTTTCGGCCCATATCTTGAGTAAGGATCAACAGGTTGTGGAGGAGGGCGGGGTGCCTTCTCAGGTGGTTCTGGTAGATCTAACTCAATATGCCCAATGGCTCTCAATAAAGAGTTCTCCTGAAAAAAAAAGATACATGTTATTGTAACACATTTTTGAAAGCATACAAATTGAGAATTTTATAAAGCAAAAGCAACATTTACCATAACAACATCACCAATGGTGAGCTCCATGTCATATCTGCCTGAGAGATAGAAGAACTTTTCAACCAGCCCAAGAAAATTCTACAATACAAGCCAGTTAAGATTAATATATAACAAAAAACATAAACAGAATATTTTTCATCTGAATACTAGTGTCAAATCTTAAATAAGTGTAGCATAAGCTTAGCCAATGGAGAATACTTTATGATAATAGTATAAGGTAACGGATGCCTCGTTTCTCAGGTGGAATAAAGAAATCACTAATTATTATAGATACTAATAATAATTTAATCTGTCATACAGACAAAACTTCCAACTATGAAAGAAACGATACTTAACTAGAACTATTTCAAACTGTTCTCCAGGGTTTCCAACCACAAAGAGGTGCTCAACCTTGCTTTCATGTCTCAACTTGAGCAATACCTGCAAACCACCAAACTTATCAATAACCTACCGGAAAGAATAACATTGATTAAAAATGAAGACAAGTATGAACCTGATGTGGTTTAAAAGCAAGTCCATGAGGAGTTGTCAATTTAAAGGATACACGTAGCTTTTGGAGATGGTTTGCTGACAATGATACAGCACTTTGTCCAGCTAAATCTAGCCTATAATATATGGTGTAAGATGAAAAAAATAACAATGTCAGAGATCATTTGAAAAGAAATCAAACATATTAGTGGCTAACATATAAAAGAGTCGTCAGGTATTATTGCATCAATACTCAAGACAGTTCAAAGAATTTTCTGTTAGAATTTATAGAAATTTTAGTTCTTTTCCTTTGAGTTTACTTAGTGAAATGTTTGAAAAAAAAATTCTAGTTCAAAGAATTAAGTTATTTAAAATATCAATTAAAAATTATTTGATGATGATATGTGAAAAATATATCAAGTAAAAATGTCAATTTCAGTTTGTTCGTGATAATTATTTAATGGTGTTAGTAAGTAACTTAATTTATCAATAATAGAAGTCGAATGATGTAACTTGATTAAATTAAAATTTTATGATCTAAATGAAAGTCGAAGTTAAGTTCAATGATCTTAAATGTAAATTACCCCAAAGAGACGGATAACATATACAAAACCAACAAAAGATAAGCAAAAGAGACAGATAACACACTGTATCAGTACTCATGACAGTTACCAATTATCAGTACAAAACCAACAAAAGATGAGCAAAAGAGACAGATAACATACTTTCCTTGGTTTCCATACTCCCAAGATCACTGTCAAGTATAGTGATTTCTGCATTTTCAATTTTGACAAGTCCTGAGACAAATATTGGTACTTTCTTTTGGCCACCCGTTACGTAAACCTTTTCATCCTCAGGTTTATGGAGCACAATCTACCAAATTTCAATTTCACGTGTAAGGGAAACACAGACAAACACAAAGCTTAAACAATAAACCTAAGAATATGATTATAACCACAATACCTCGAATACAAATGTGTAACTTCCAACATCTACTCTTTGGCAAGTTTTTCAAGTTATGTAGCCCAGTTCCAGCATCAAACCCAAGTTCCTATATTTAGAATATTTGTAGACATTGAATCAAATTAAACAAAAGGAATGCAAAAGAATAACTTGTGTACAGTAGAAATTTTGTCCAACAAAATGAAAACGGCTTGATAAAACAATAAACCTGGCTTTCAACTGGAGATACATCCCTTGAACCAGAAGTAAAAGCTCCCACAAGCTTCACAGTAAGAGGTGGTGCATTTGAACCAAGCACAGTGTTAACTTTAACCTGTTGTATTCAAAGAAAGAGTTAAAAATCAAGAGTAACAAAACCCTACAAATCAGATTAAATGAATCCAAATTTGGTACAAAGAGGCCTATGTATGAATGAATATAGGAGTGAAAAGCAAGTCAATGCAACACAAATACGCATCAAGTGAAAAAATCTTTTTTTGATATTTTTTTTTAAAAAAAAGGCCAACAGCTTTCAGCATACGATACATCATATGAGGCACTCAAGATCTAAAAACTACTGTAGTGAAGCAAAATAGAATGCCACTAGTGTTAATTTTTTTTATAAGAATTGAAAGCCTCATTAAAAACCTCCTCCTTGATTAGAAGAGCTTGTAAGGAAGCTCCTTAATCATTGGAAGGAGGACAAGAGTGCCTTAGAATTTCATTTAACAACTGAAATTACATAAGATACAACCAGAGAAACACCCCCTTAAAAAACAGAAAAACAGAAGACACCCAAAAACACCCAAATACAACAACACTGACTTGGGGTAAACCAACTAAGTAACGGCCGCAGCATCTGCTTGGTTTACCTTTTACTAATCTGCCACCACCCTTACAGACTCATAGTGTATGCATAGCCCGATAAAACATAAAACATTTAAACCATAATCATTACAATCAATCAGCCAATCCCCTGCTTAGCTAACTTGTCAGCCTCCATATTACAACTCCTAGGAATCCATCTAAGAACAGCGTTCAAAGCATAAATGAGAGCCCCAATTTCCTCTACTAGATCACTGAAGGAAGTAGGGGTAGAGTGTTGGTTATGAATCCATTCCACTGCAATTTTAGAATCACTCTCAATAATAAGTCTCCCCTTCTTAGCCCAATCAGAAGAATAGAAAAAATCAATTCCCTCCTTAATAGCTTTCAATTCTGCCAAAATAGGAAGACTAGGCCCTACTGCTGTAGAGAAAGTGGCTAATGTCGAGCTGTTTGAATCTCTTAAAATACCTCCAATTCCAGCTTTCAACCCATCAGCTCTTACTGCCCCATCCACATTAAGTTTAAACATATCCGATGGAGGAGGTGACCAACCAATAACCTTCTTCGAGTTCGAAGATTTATGAATCTTATCAGCCCGCGAGGGATCCCCTACTAGCAGATCAGTCTGCATACAGACAGTAGGGTATTTCGCTAGATACCATTTTACCAACCTAAGTCTAATGAAGAAGAAGAGAGCAGTGCTGTCAATAATACCATTATCAAACACCACCAAATTCCTAGCCTTCCAAATTGACCAGAACACGACAGCCGGGATAAACCTACAAATAACAGAATTCTGCCTTAGATTTGACCAAGAACAAAGAAGGGAAATGGGATCTTGAGGCAAAACAGTAGT